GCGCGTTAGGTAACACTTCTTTGAAGTCGGCAAAACATTGGGGTACACGTGGCCAGGCACACCCACTGGTTGGCAAAAAGCAAAATGGTAGTGAGCTGTGATGCTGCTGGGTGTCAAAACAGGCATGGAAAAAAACAAGGAAATTGGCTTCTATAGAGCCCTAGTTTTTCCAAAAAGAAGGAAAAGTTTTGGATAAACACTATGAAGAGAAAAAACTGGAAACTAACCAAGTATACACGACTATGTGGAGATCATCTTGTCCTAGTCTAATTTTTGGAAGGCTGGTTGATAAACCTGCTGATAGAGACCGTCTCTACTGTTTTTGCCTATTTAAAGCAAAGAATAATAAGATACAAGCAGTGTCAGCCAAAAAACAAGCTGCCTAAAAGCAAGTTTGGCAGTGTAAGCTTCTTCAGCTAAGGGCCTATGATAGCCTAAGAAGCTTACACCAAGCTTTCTTCCGCCTCTTCCAAAAACAAAAAATTGTCCTAACGTGTCAAATTTTTAGTAGTTTTAGGCTTCTAGTTGTTTCCAACACATGAGCTGCTCTTGTGTGAATACATAGGCGGATCTAGAAATCCAAGACCACCCGGGCTCATTAATATTCATGAAGGGTGTGGTCAAATTGGTTAATTATTCACCACTTAACCTCCTGCTTTGCTATCAGAAGCTATGTATATTGTTATTACTGTGTGGTTTGTGGTTGTTCAGATGTATTGTGATAAGATTATAACAGTATTGTCATGCAACCCACCCCTTATTATAGCCAAACCACACCAATGGATGTGTGAATAGCCCAGACCTGCTAACAAAGTAGTGCCAAACTCGAGATTTGGCCAGTTCTTCAGTCATCTCTGATGTGGATGGAGGCTTTTTTTTTTCGGGTAAATGGGGGCATCATTGACCATCTAACCAACAGATTCCAGCTTTGCAACGTAGCTACTTTCTGGCATCCTCAACATAGGCGTATCTAGCCTTCTCCAGCTACTAGGGCACTTAATTAATTATTCATATAATTAATTAATTATTCATATAATTAATTAATTATTCATATAATTAATTAATTATTTATATCTTTAACTATTGATTGTGGGCAATTTGGGCAAATGCATTTAAAATTTAAGACCTATAACTGCCCTGGTGCTTAAATAAACACTTGGAACATGTAGGTGTGTGCTAAATTATTGTGGTTAACAGTGCTAACTATTGTGGTTAACAGTCCTCCCACTGTTACAATACTGTGTATAATACAATAACCAATGAATATAATTATGGCTGTAAATTTCTACCCGGGCAAATAGGGCTGAGGCTATTATTCGGGAATAATTTTGAGAATAATGGGTCTAAATTTGAAGAAAGAATAGTGGGTGGAGTTTAAGAATAATTAGAATGGTTTGCAGCAAAAATCATTAATATTCATGAAAATTATAATAAAAACTTTAATAATGGTTAGTTAACTGATAATAATAGCTAATTAATTAATAATAATAGTTACTTAAGTAATAATAATAGTTAATTAACTATACATAATTGTCAGACTCATCTATGAACTGACAAAATGTGTGCTTATCATTTTAAAAAATGGAATATAAGTTGGGAATAATAGGGAATAATAAGGAGTTTTTTGAGAATAATGAACATTTTTTACAAGCATTTCAGAATAGAATAATGACTGATTTTTTGAGAATA